TTAGAACCTTTAAAAGTTCGTTAGTTCGATTAGACAAAAGTTTTTCTTCATCAGAGCCGTGTTCTAATGTTGCAAGCAATTCGTCACGTCGCCGACGAATTAAGACAACAGGACCTTTGTAGCACGACAACTGGAAATTTTCAACCATCTCACTACTTCCAGCGATGAAAATTAGAACACTTTTGGAAAAAAAACCATTTACGAAAACTACCTGAGCAGCAACTGGCAAATTAAGGTGTTTTCTTATAGTATAATGAACAAGTGGGCTAAGTGAATCTGGCATTCGCGCGAGTGCAAGAGGTAAAAGGTCATCAAATGTTGCGTCTAACATCAAACCCTCCAAAGCGTCATATTAGAAATGTAAAAAACAAGTTCCAAGGCTCAAATATGACTAAAAAACAAATCTCTAGTACCTGTATTTTGGGAAAGTTCATAGCTGCCCAAGTAGCAGGAAATCCACCAATTGACCAAGCGTAAATAATCACCTGATTTTCTTCAAACCCCAGTTTTTCCAAAGCAAGCTGCATTACTGCGTCCATAGCGCATAATATTTGAGACGGTGTAGGCTGTCCACTGCTTTCGGCAAAGCCTGAAGAGAAAATTTTAACGAGGCATCTAAAGCAGCTATATGAACAAAGAATATCTGTCGAACATTGTTGAAAAAGTATATGCTACAAAAGAAATATTGTTTGAAAAAACTACAAGAGGCTGGCAAAATCATAAAACTAAAATATCAGCAATACGAATTAAAATTCTCAAACAAGAAAAGTAATTTTGTGAAGTAATAACGCTAAAATGAGAACATTTTTAAAATATTACCAAATGACAACTCACCGGGAGCGTTCCAACCAAGAACGGAATAACCTAAAGAGAGCGGAGTACTCATAATCCCAGTCTCATAGAAAGCAGCATTCCCCTCACATGTGATGACAAGTGTACTGCCTTTCTCCCCTTCACCACGACGATCAAAAAAGACCGTGTCGATGCGATTCTTGTCCGTTGTACTAATCACATTTCTTCGACCGCTCTGCAAATATGTCCGGCAACTAGAGAAACTTTGAGAACCAAACCGTACAGCATATTCTCCTTAGTTCTTCTTCTTAGATATAAACTAAAACAGTTTCAAAAACAAAAGTCAAACATCAAGATTTCCAGTGTGCATGGATATTACGATAAACAGCTACCTGGCGTAAAATTAGTTTCCTGCGATTCTCAAGCAGCAATGAGGAAAAAAGAAATTGTACAAGGGCTGTGGAGCCAGGATAAACCATCCTTCGACCAAAAGTGTTAGCGCACAAGTATGCGACAAAGTCACGAATTGGTCGTAAATAGCAAGGCACTTCAGGAGGCATATCTGTCTCTTTAAGTGACACGTAGTGGCGTTTTAAACTCTTTGCTTGAAATGCCAAAGGAGAAGCAAAAATCTGAATAAAAATTAAAAAGATTCTCCACAATTTCCTTCAGAATTCAATTTTGGCAAAAACTTTAAAATCACAAGTTCCTTGACATCATTTAAGTATGACCCTTTGAAAAAGAAATCAAAATTACAAGAAACAGCTTCTATGTGCAGGATTATCCCAAAGAGAACCTCATAGTCATATTTTGTTAACAGTGCATCTGTATCTGACTTTTTTGGTTCCGAGTTTTGGCGAATGAGTCCCCGCGAGAAGTTCCTATATTCGGGATTGCTTACCCTGCCAATAAAGCGAAATCCATATGCAACCGAGTAATATGCAATAACAACCTCTGTGCAACTGCGGACAAACGAGAGATTTACTAGCGAATTTCTATACGCATACTGCAAAGATTAAACATGTACGGAGAAATCAAAAATTTTGCTCAAGACAAACTGATTCTAAAAAACTATAACCACAGTTAGTAAAAACTCACCACCACCAACAACGGAAAAACTGTTGTGCACACGTGTCTAAAACCATTAATGAAAGTAAACATCAAGTCACTTATTGACTCCATAGAATTCAACTTATATCTCGATGCCTCTTGAGAATAAACAGCATACAGACGCGGACCAATCATATAATTGAGAGCCAAGTTCCGCAGCCCCATAATCCCTAGAAACCACTCTCTTATGCTTTTTAAAACAATCCCGCTCAATAGAAACTGTCAACAAACCGACTTAGATAAAATGACCACCTCCACTTTATCATGACTAACATGAACAACCGCGATTTCAAACATTGATATTACTGAAGATGAAACAGTTCAAAAACACTTCCAGTGCTGCGAAATCACATCGTACCTCGTTCTCCCCTCTTATCCTCACTACTTTCACATTTGGCAATTTTATAAACTAGACAATTAAAAGTTGAACCCTGTGCACTAGATAATATTCATAAAAATGAGTAGTCCCCGAAAAGAAACCATACCAGTATCAATGCGGCAAATAATATTCAAAAATATAAACAGCTCCTAAAAAGAATTCCTACCGTTACCGAACTTTGGCATTCACGACTGACAGTAACATTCTTATAATCTAACCCAAATATCAGAACAGTAAACACTGATAAAAAAAACCAAAAAGTAACAGCACTTTTGCACTTTGATATAAAACTTTTTAATGAATTCTAAAGTACAAAAAATTAAATCAATAATTTCCTTTTAAATCAAATCTAAAATCATTCATACATAAAACATTGATATCGGTATGACAATATCAAATCCATCTGTCGCAAATAAAAAGATAGAGGGAAGCCATGTCTAAGATGCGCGGTTAAAACCAGTGCGTTCTCGTAGTGCACCGAATAAAAGTATTTATTCGAGTAAAACTTGAAAATGAGATCTGTACAGGCGAATTACAATGTTCAACAAGGGTGACAAAAATAAGACACCTTACAATGTCTCCCCGTACAACAGTGATTCTCGACGTTATGATGCGACTTCTGACTGTTCCATTGTTGATGACGGCTCCTCATTGCCTATTTTATGTACTGGGAAGCCTGTTTCGGATGGTTTCTCAGACTTTGAGTCTCCCACTCCTGGTGAGGATTCCTTTTCATTGATGAAAGTTTCTTCTTTATGGCCTTCTGAAGTGCCTTCTAAGCTCGATTCCTCACTTCCAATTTCATCTTTTTCTTTCCCAATACCTTTCTTCTTCAATTTCTTTTTCAGAGCCAATTTTTCCTTCTGACGCTGTCTGAAAGCGCCATTATAAAATTCTTTCACACGACTGCTGTGAACTTTCTGGAAAAAACGGGTGACCTGGTGAAACAGAAATCAAAGAGAAACGAGGGGATTCTCATTTGCCTAAGCCGTGTTTTACCGGTTAACTGGTAAGAAAACATCTGAAAACTTACCTCTTCAAACGTTTCTTAGCAGTTCTCTCTTCCTCTGACCGGAGTTGTTTCTCACGTCTCTCCTGGAATTCTGCATCAAGTTCCTCTTCTTCTGCCTTTTTGTACATATAGTCCAACCTAAACTGCCCAAAAATTGCACCCAAAATTATATTTCCATAACGTCTGAAAAGTAAGTTTCAATTGCTTTTACCTATCCATTTCACGTTTGCGATTACTTCGAAATATATGAAATTCTGCGCTTCCCGCTGCAGCCGAAGAACCAACAACATTGCGTACAAAGTCTGGTGGTGGTCGAGGTTTCCTGGCATCTCTTCTCTGAGGAATAGATGCGAGTTTATCCTGCAGACTAAACAACTACTGAATGCAACCCGTAGTAAAAAAAAAAACGCAGAGTGTATTTTTCCTTTGTTATCAAAAGAGTTAGAGTAAAACTAAAAACAAGACATATCCAGCCCTCGATAGAGCAGCAATAAAAGCATTCTCATGCCAAATTACTTAATCAAAGATAGCAAATAAAAGCTAACGCTTCTTCTATAGAAAAGAAGAACTATGTCTTAATGCTGCGCAAATTACGCGTCGCAGAAGCAAATAAAAGGAATAAACAACAGTATTTCTTTGACTCAAAATAGGCAGTTCCAAAGTATTAAAACGAAACATGAACTAAAATTCTGAAAATAAATTTCATCTAATAAGCCAAGTACTTTTTCTCTTACAGATTTCCTTTAATCAACAATTCTGCCGGAATAGACTGATACGTAAATTGCGAAATATATACGATAAAAACCATGACAAATATGCAAAAGTAAAATGTTCAACGGTCAACAACGAAATCAGCTATAAAAGCCAAACTGTCACTAACAATATTTTTCTCAAGTCGGTCAAGTCGCATTCGAATTAAGTCATAAGCAGTTCGAGCTTTTTGCTCCTCTTCTTGTTCTTTGTCTTCTCTTGGCATGCTTTAATGACTGATACCTAGAAAAAAAATGGAAACCATGTTACGTAACAAAGGTAAAATATGGTGGCACAGATGAGCGAACACTTTGAAAGTAAACTGCACTCATAAATATATAGGAAACCACTAAACAACTCCAAGCCGCAGGTTTTGCATATAACGTCCATAAATATAAATATGGGAGATTTCATTCCCAATTTGGCTTGAAATTTTTCGGGAACGAAATACCCTATCTTATGGGAAAAACTCCAGCTTTTGGCACAATGCCACTTCGGCGAGTAACTGGAGGATATCCGAGTTACTTAACCGCAGATTGCAATCATCGAAACAACAACTACGATATGTGAGCACGTAATAAAGCTGTTACAGTTATACTGTCAAAAGGTGTATGTAAAAATGAAAAATATTCTCACATTTCGGCCAAAAAAGAGAACGAAAGCAAGAAATTGAAAACATAAAA